CTTCATTTAATGCAGGCCTAGAATTTCATTTTTTTTAGGGCACTGCCATTTGGCATTTGTGGTCTGGCTGGAATAAAGGGCACTAATGCCAACCATGAGGGCATTAATGCCATCAGCGTACCAAAGTTATGGCTGATCCTGATACATCACTGAAAAAAAAGTAGTTAATGTTTATGTACACGTGTTATTCTTCCCAATGTAAACTTTAGCGGAGAAATTTTGTTCGCTTTTACTTAAAACACACTTGAGAAATGTTCAGACCAGTCCCACAGTGTTTTTGTACAAGGTGTTAAGTGATGTCCAGATATGCGTAACAAGTGTTCCGCCTGGATTTGCCTGCGTCAGGATGACAATGTAGTGTTCATGTAACAGCTAACTGCTCAACAACCTGTTACCCTGCATGTCTTTCGCTATTGAAGCACAGCCACTTTAGCAAAGTATGGGGAGACAGTTTAGGGTGACTGTAAAACTCAAATGCCAAGAAACATCAGTAGATGAGTATGTCAGTGAGAAAATCTCATTTAGTTGAATTATTAATTTTACTTTAACCATTTTATTCTGATTTTCTCTAGTCACACATAATGGCCGCCAAAAGTGTAGCACACACTTTGAGGACATCTTTGGGACCAAATGGTAAGTGCAGATGTACATCATGCCTATGTTGAGCGTTGAGAGCATTATGGTTGCTTGCTTAAAATCTTCTCGAGTCAATTAGCCTCGATCACTAGAAACGGTGTTTACATGTCTAGCCATAGCATACTTTCATGTGAACTGCGTCATGCAAGTCCTTTCCGTCCCACCTCATCGTGCAGGTCTTGACAAGATGTTGGTCAGCAAAGACGGCGAGGTGACTGTCACTAATGATGGAGCCACCATCCTGAGCCAGATGGACGTGGAGCATCAGATAGCTAAGCTTCTGGTTCAGCTGTCCAAGTCGCAGGATGACGAGATTGGCGATGGAACGACCGGAGTGGTTGGTAAGTCACAGCCATTGTGGACTTTAAGTGCCAGCATCCAACAATATGAACTTCTAACCAGTGGGAAATTTCAGTCAGATCGTGGTATTTCAGGACTGAGCAGTGTCAATCAGAAGTGTTTGGTGTCACTGATGGGCACTCCTCCAAAATGCTGAGATGCTTTAATTTTCCCTGTTTCCAGCTAATGTAAATATTTATTTCATCAGACAAAAATCTGCCCTTTTCAAATGTGTTAAATTTTTTTTGTTTATGCTTATGAAGAATTGAGTTTTCAATCAGGGG